TAATAAAATTAAATCAGTTTAGTGTCTGTCTGTAGGGTAACAGATGTAAAAATGCCTTTACCAAGACTTTCTAAAACAGAACCATTTCTAAAATAATTTCAAACATTTCTGAACAAGCTCTGAAAGTTTCATTAAAATCCGACAATTATTTGATTTTTGTAAGTATTTCCAAATAAATGTATTTTTGCCACAACCCCCCGCCAAAAAAAAAAAAAAAAAAAAAAAAAAAAACGCAAAAATTTTCTACACTAATCTTTGGTCCACACGCAAAACAAGATTTTTAACCAAAATTTCGAACGTTCTAAAAAGGATAAAAAGAAAAATATTTTAATTATCAAAAGATCTTTTGGTCTTTACTCTTTAAAATAAAAAAGATTTTGATGATAAAACTTTGTTTTTGTTATCTTTGGAATATTTTTTCATCATGATATGCTCATTTTTAACGAATCTGTGGATGTACCTATATATATATATATATATATATATATATATATATATATCCTAAAGAGCCAGGAACAACCTAAACGGATCTTCAGGGTAAACTGGTTGTTCCTGACTCTTTAGGATTTATTCCATTTATCCCTCCTCTACATAGCGTATTGAGCACTCTACGTTTTATCTTAGTTACTCGCTTGTTTTTTTTTTCTTTGGACTGGAAATTTAAGGCACTGGCCGATTTATTTCGCCCTGTTCAGATATTTCTAGTTCTTTCTTTTTCTTTTTTCAATTTTTTTCCCCGGATACCAATTTGTTTTGATAGACTTACAAGTTGTGTTATCTGAGGTTTTTTCCAACCGAGTATTATTAGTAGTATAATATTGTTGAAACTTGACTAATGCATGGAATAATAATGCAACACAAAATGTACTTAGAACAAAATATATTGAAGCAAGAAAGTGTACACAATATTTACATATAGTCTTTTGTATATTCCTGGTAAGACCGTTCCTGGAGAATGTGTTGACTGAATCGCAGTCGGGCAGAGTCTCTGGTTGAATCTCTTGATTCCTGTATTTATCTATCCACCCACGAGGATAAAATGTGGCACAAGGCCGGTTTAAAGTGGGTATCTCCGAGCCCGTAGGCTCGGCCAAAAATATGGCCTTTCTGAACCCGCCTAGACGGGTTCAAGGCCTGTCTACCACCCCGGACAAAACCCTGCCTCTCGGCAAAGCCTTGTCCGGGTCCCTCACTGCAAAATGCAGAGAGTTCGACTGAGAGTGAATCTCTTGATTCCTCCTGGCTTCCTGGTACCAACCATATTTATATGGTCGGTACTCCACTATGCAAATTAGGTGGATCCTACCACAACAAATATATACATACATACATATATATATATATATATATATATATATATATATATATATATATATATATGTGTGTGTGTGTGTGTGTGTGTGTGTGTGTGTGTGTGCGCGCGTTTGTGTGAGTGTGTGTGTGTGGCATTTAGCAGAGTAAAAATGTAAAATTAGCAGTCTATAAATTGCGTTTCTTATGTAGAGGATAAATATGATATCTGATAATAATTCAATACATTTATCTGACCCTGATGAGCAGTGTGCCAGCGAAACTTTGAAGTCGGTCGAAAGATAAGTCATTGGAACTTTTATTTATTTATTTATTGACAATATACACAAGAGAATTTGTTGGGTGGGGAAGAGAGGAGGTGATTGATAGATTTAAATTTGAAGGAATTTTTTAATCCAATTTTATTTCTTATAACTTTAAACGTTATATTTTAGTGGAAGCACCTACTGAAGTAGATGCTCGGTTTTATTTAAATCTACCGGCCTGTGCATTAGAGAGTCTTGATAAAAGAGAAAAACCACTGTTTGATCCAGGCTGTTTTAGACCACTCAGCCACTTACAATCTAATCTAACTATAATAGAAAGAAAAAAAAAACTTTCTATTCGCGTCCATGTATCGAGATTACTTACACAAGATGTCATTATTATGATTATTTTCCCTAGGGTGTTTGGTAGCTAATCTGGCCCAGTTTTTAACTTGCTGTTCTACATTTAGCTTAAACAAAAGACAATTTGTGTCCAGGGTTTTCAGTAATTGATTTAAATCTTTTCAATATTTTAGCTATCTTACATTTTTTTTAAATCATATCACCCCATGCAAGGTAGTAATGCCACTAAGACACAATGGGTTACTAAGTGAGGAAGAACAAGAAAAAAGTAAAACTTTAGGGAGAGAGAACAATAAAAGAGGAGGAATCAAGAAGACAGAAGATAACTATTGACATTGCATATGAATTTGTGAAGATCAAAGTTGGCTGAAAAGCATGGAGCTAGAAGAGAGTTCCACAAACGAGAAGGACGAGAGAAGAAACTGTTAGCATAGAACTTACGGTTCCATCTCAACTGTAAAATGATGTGACCTTGCTGGCAATCTAGTACTGTGTTTAAATTCATAAAGTCTAGGTATGATAGCGAAGAGGTCATCCGAACAATTACCATGAAAGTATTTATAGAAAAGGCACAGGAAGCTATGGTGGGAAAATGACTGAAGACGAGATGTCAGTTTAACAATCAAAAATACGATGGGTTTTAATAAGTAGAATTGTTAAGAGTATTAGGGAATAGAAAATTTCTTTTACATTTAATTTTTCAATACATTTCTATCATGAAATCATCTGAATAGCTTTTACCAATACTGATGATAATGAGCTGCACTGACCTGACAATAATAGATAAATAAAGCTATTTCTGCTTTAATTTTGCAACATGATTGTTTTTGCGTGTGGACGCGTATTCACAAGTGGGTGAACATTCTACAGCACAACTAAAAAGGCAATTACACTCGCTATCCATTGTATCGAAACGGACTACGGATATACAACGCGAATTCCGGAAATGAACTTGGCTGTGTCACTCAACTGATAAACGCAGTGTTTCCTGAATCTGAGACAGGATCCTGATCAGCTTTTTTTTAATCTTCTTTTTTTACACTGCCAACACACAGTTAACCTATTTTCAAAATCTGCCACATCGCAGTAAGATTATGAAAAGATTTAATCTGTAATGAACAGCAAATTAATCTATGATATTATTCTGTATCTGCCTATATCCTCAAGGACACAGTGGATAAAGGTGTTAGTTAGATCCAGTGACAGGACCCAAAGAGTGTGAGTTCAATACCTGGTTAAGGCGGTGGATAACTTTGAGAGGGGAATTAACAGCTGATAACTGATATCCATTAGCATAGCACGTGGAAATAGAACAGTTTACCTCAGCGAGCGAAATAAAGGGCTCACTTCGACATTCCAACCACCAGAAGAAGGCCGGAGCGTACATCGGCCGAAACGTTGTGATAGATATGGTAACAAAGATGAGAATGATAGTCCGAACAATGTAAATAGTGATATTATTCTGCTAGTT